TGATATTTCAAGCAAAGAATTTCACAGTTAAATAATGAATACGGAATCAAGGAAGCAAGTAATTCAACTAAGCATATTGTACAAATTGCAAATAAGAGATAAGATATGTAGACATATGAAATTAGGCTAAACATGATGACTACACATGCTAGAGTAACTCAATTAAGGAAATAAAAGGAAACTACTTAGTAAAAATCGGATTTTCAACATTTAGCCCGAGTACGCACTCGCCACCTCGCGTACACGACCTTCACATATTTTAAATTACCATAACAGTACCAAATCCTAAGGGGAAATTTCCCCACACAAGGTTAGACAAGTCATTTACCTCAAACCTCGCTCAATCAATCAATAAGAAGGCTCTTCCCAAAAACAACTCAAATCTAGCCAAAAACAATTACATACTATAAATATAACTATAGGAAATTAATCTAAATAATAAAATTATAATTTTAGCAAGACTTGAAAAAATCGCCCCAAAAAGTCGACCCGGGCTCGCGTCTCGAAACTCGAGCAATATTATAAAAACCGAACACCCATTCGATATCGAGTCCAAATATACAAGAGTTATCCAAATCCTACCTCATTTAGCCTTTTAAAACCCAAAAATTCGGTCTAAGAAATTTTATAATTTTTCCTTAATTTGTCCACCCCAAATCTCTAATGAGATGAACAAATTAAAGATAGATTAGTGAAAATTAATCAAAAACGAGTTAGAAACTCTTACCCCAACAATCCCTTTGAAAATATCCCAAAATATCGCCTAAATCCGAGCTCTTAAGTCCAAATGGTGAAAAATAACATAAACCCTCGATTTTAGAATTTTAATCTGTTGCCTAGTTAAATCCTTCTTCGCGAACGCGGAAATTGCCTCGCATTCGCGAAGCACAAAAATGTTACTGCCCAAATTCCTCTTACGTGAACGTGAGGGTCCACTCGCGAACATGATGACCAGTAATCCCAGGCCCCCGTGAACGCGGAAGCTCACTCGCGAACACGTAGGCCAACGCGTGAGGTCCACCCACCCATTTTTCTTTTTCGCGAACGCGTGACACAGTACGCGATCACATAGCACCAAGACCTGACCCCTTCGCGAATGCGTGGCCATCTTCGCGAATGCGAAGGGTAATTCCCAGCCATCTCTGAAGACTCTACGCGAACGCGTGAACACCTTCGCGAACGCGTAGAAGAAAACCAAAGGCACGNCGTTTGCTATTGCTATAAGGGCTGCTCGCCTTTATACGGCTTGGCTTCGCTATCGCTCGTAATGGTCGACAGTATTCCTGCCATACCAGAATTCCAATTATTTAGAGCTAGAAGCTTCGCCGGGGGTGATTCAAACCAAATGAAACAAAGGTCGAACAACTTCTTCTATTGAATAGACATCTGCTTCTTGGTCCTTTCGAACCAGTCAAAACCGCCAGATTTCAGGAATCACAATGTTCCGAAATGTGCTGAACATGGTCCGAATCACCCCCGAGGCCCCCGGGGCCTCAACCAATTATACCAACAAGTCCTAAAACATCATACGAACTTAGTCGAGCCTTCAAATCAAATCAAACAACGTTAAAATCACGAATCGCATATCGATTCAAGCCTAATGAACTTTTGAGCTCCTAACTTCAACATTCGATGCCGAACCCTATCAAATCAAGTCCGATTGACCTCAAATTTTATACACAAGTCACATTTGACATTACGGACCTACTCTAACTTTCGGAATCGGAATCCGACTCCGATATCAAAAAGTCCACTCCCGGTCAAACTTTCCAAAAATCTTCCAACTTTCAACTTTAGCCAATTAACGCCGAAATGACCTACGTACCTCCAAATCAACATCCGGATGCGCTCCTAAGTCCAAAATTACCATACGGAGTTATTGGAACTGATAAAATTTTATTCCGGAGTTGTCACACCAGTCAAACTACGGACAACTCCTGCGATTTAGACTTTCAATTTAGGGACTATGTGTCCCATTTCACTCCAAAACTCTCCCGAACCCGACACCAAGCATTCCAGCAAGTCAAGTAACCACAAAATAAAATAGAAGGAGCAATAAATAGGGGATCGGGGCTCATNATATATATATATATATATATGATACTTCAGTCTACTCCTCTTACTATAAAAGGTAAAACTTTAACATAGTCTCTCATTTAATAATTATGTCTGAATTCTTCTTTTGAGGAGGACTCTTTTTTACTCACCAAGAAAAAATAAACTTTTTTTCATTTCAACCAAAAATAAACTTTGCAGGAAACATAAATTAAACACATTAAAAGTTAACAAACAAGGCTTGTACGATCTCAATGATCAATGTTTAGCAATAACGACAAAAGGTTTCAGCTTCCACTTTTGTAATGTAAATAAAGTAATTTTTTCTAAGATAAAAAATAAATAAAACTTGTCGTTCGAGAAAAATAAACAAAAACATATGAATAAATTTGAATGTAAGGTTAAGGGTTTTTTTTTCTTATAATAAGGATATGCAATTATTAAATTGTTGGTTATGATTTAAAATTAATGTGGAAAATAATTCAAGGAATAAAAGAAGATAAAGTTGATCGTATATGCCTAAATTGTAAGTATAGCAATGTACTTTGATTCCAAAGTAAAACAAACGATAGACACTGTAAAAATAGTTAAAGAAGAAAAAATGAGTATATTTTTTCAAAATAAAAAATAAAAAATATGAATAATGACACTTAATTTGAACGGTATATATCCTGGATTTTTTTTTTTTTTTTGAATTCTTACTGCCTTCTCGAAAACATGTATGTTTTGTCTCATACTGCTCCATAACCTGCCTTCACCACTGCCCTTAATCCAAACCAAAATCTGATATATAAAAATCAGAAACAAATTTCTATTATCAAGAGATAATAGAAGTCAAAAACATAAGTTTTCCATCATATGCAAATCTGGAATCGTGTCCAGTACATAAACCTAGGATGAAGGGGAGCGAGCAAGTATCAAATCGTGTATATGCTTCTTTATCTACATGAATATCACTAAATATTGTACCTTTTTTTCTGTGATGAAACGTGAGAAAAACATCTCTGCTTCCAATTAATTTTTATCCAGCATAACTAAGATTTAGTGGATAATAGTAAGCAAGAAACTACTTATGCCAGGGAACATCTCTTTTGACATCGCACGTTTTAATAGAGATCATTGGGTCTCATGCATGTAATATTTCTAAGTATTTAGGAATTTAAACAGTCAAGCTATCGAAATGAAGAATTAACTCAAAAAACGTTAAGGCTTTACATATATGCATCAAAATAACACCAAATGCAATATGATTTAGTTAGTCTCTTCATATTGCTCACATTCAGATGACATTATTGTATTTACGGAGATTAACTCTACAATTTAAGTGTTTTAAAGAATATAATTATGATAGGTAAGTGGGGAGACATAGAAAATGTTATTTCTTTAATGTTTTTACATTTAATAGGATCCTAATTTAATATTTTGAGGGTATTGATCCGGCGAAACCAATATAGCAATAAGCATATACTGCTATTTAGTTCAAATAAACCATTTAATGGGTGGTGTTTTAATTTTACTTTTTTATTTAATGGGAGGTAATTTTAATATTAGATAGAGGATAATTTGGTCATTCAACTTTTGAAGGATATTTTCATAAAATAACTCTATTAAAAGTGTTCATAATTATAATATAGTATGATATGATATGATTAGTATAATATGATATGATGATTATCCAAGTAAGTACAACCGCATAATTAGTTTAAGTTTAATAGGTGTAGTACATAAATTCCTCTTGATAGTAAACCAGATCCCTTTGCCAAAATCCTTTCCCTCTGCATTGACAGCTAAACCTTCTTCTTGGCCTTTTAGTTTGAGTGAACAGGAGAAACTTCATTACTGAACATATTAAAGACGAGGTGCTAAATGGTAACTTTATGAAGTTCTTTTCTATTTTGAATAACCAAAAAATCACCAAGGTCATTGGCGCACAACGCGAAATTTGATAGATAATGAGCCCACTTCTCTACCGGACACCATGTAAATACTAGGCTTTTGTCTGTAGTATGATTTGAACCCGTGATGTGCGTCTAATTCACCTATTATGGGTTGTGCTCTTAACCTTAGACCAAAGTCCCGGGGGAAGTAACCTTATGAAGTTCTAGTTGGAACATGTAGAACGAAGAGAGAAAATCAGAATGGTTTAAAGTGCAAAAAGAGATGGTACAACAAAAAAAACAAAACTAGATGCACACAATAATTGTACATGGTCCTCTTCCTTGATAATGAATCTAGAGAAAGGGGTTGAGGTTCACATGTGAGCTCCCTGTCTTCCACAGTTGAGGTGGAGGATTAAAACCTCATCAGTAGCGTAGCATTTCCTTCTCCTTTCCTCCTCTGCTGGTGTAACAAAAACAAATCTAGAGAAAAAGTTTGAGGTACTTGCTCAAATCAAGTCAGATTTGCTAGGACCTTTAGATTGTTCATATACAGATTATTATCTTCTTTAGTGATATATATGATAGTAATGGCGCCAAGTATATTCTGCTGTTTTATATAAATGTGCACAGGATGGGGAATAGGTTTTGCTCACTTGTAAATTTAGTATGCTTCAAATACAGATTGAAAATTATAAGAGCCATTACACTACTCATAAAATTGTAATAGTTTAAGATATACTAAGCTGTTCATTTTCCTCCCTTCACTTTACTACTATTGTACAGGTAATATTTGTTCCCCTTTTCTTTAATACTGAGTTTGCAATCAGCATGAAAAGAAAAAGGGGAAAACTATGATATTATGATTTTCTTGAATCTTGACCATGATGAGGAAACACAGAAGAATAAACGAACTAATCGCCAAGGTTACAATTTTTCTAGAATTTCGGAAAGACTTTTTAGAAATTGCTGTTCAACCAAGAAAGACACGGGACCTTTAGGCGTTGCTTGGACCAACAACAACCCAGTTTAATCCCACTGGTGGGGAAAGGCGTTGCTTGGACCGAGTTAAGAAAAGACTGGCTACATAGTTATGTCGGAAAATAGGATTACAGTGAATTGAAATTCGTACACTACATTGCAAATTTGAGCTAATCTAATATACAAAACTTCAACTAAGGATTTGATATTGTAAACAGTTCCAACACTTTGAGCTGTGGAACTATCATGACATGCTACATATCGTCCACTTTTCGAAGCGCAAATACTTCCTCTTCATTTATTGACTTTGAGCCGTGAAAGCAATCAAAATCTTATATTGATGATTCAGGTTCAGACTTCCACAAAGATGAGATATCAGCCACAGCTTCAGAAACTGTTAGATATATTCCATTTAATCCAAAGGCGTCGAGAGTGTTAGATTGATGCAGTTTTTCCATAACATTCCCACCTGGATTTGCCATCACAAGCTACACCAACAAAAAATCAAAGATTTCACGTGAAAGGAAAAGAAAAAAGGAAAACAAATTTTGTAAGAAATATTTTGACTAGTGAAGGAAAACAAAGAAACATCTTTTATGTGGCTGACGGATTTACCTTAAGAGATCGTTTATCCAGTGTCTTTCGTAGTTCACATATTGTGTCGATGCCACTTGAGTCTATGGACGACACAGCTGGTGAAGCAAGACATAATTTTGTTACTCAACATGTTGAGAACTGCCAGTAAAACAGAAGATGAGTAAATGTCACTTTTTTTTTTCAACTGACCTGTCATGTCGATTATTACACATTTGATTGCAGTTTCTTTGTTGGCTACTATCCACTCTTCCTCTTCGCGAATCCATCTCAATATCCTACAGTTACAAAATGTGAATTTTGAGTAAATAAAACTGTGTAATAATCTTAACAAATTAGTTGAAGTTGGCTAAAAGCAAAATACAAAATCTGTACCCTATGTTTGAACTAACCTTTCTTTTAAGTAGGTAGAATTTGCAAAGTAGATAGGAGCCTCAACAGCAAGGATAAGGAAAGAAGGAATTCTAACAGCTGTTCTATATCTACTTAAGTTTTGATATACTTGAGTTCCAGGAATATTGCCCAGGACACTAGTATTGGGCCTTGTAACATGCAATAGGATCTTAAAAACCGAAACTCCAACCTGAAATTTCACGAGCAGAAGTAGAAAATGTTAGGTACAAGGAGGAGATATCAAAGTAAGTGGTACTATAAGATGTGATATTTGAGGAGATGCTTACTGCAATGGCTAGGCCGAGAGGCACTGAGATGAAAAGAACACCAAAAAACGAACACAAGCAAGCCAAGAAATCGAGCTTGTCAACTTTCCATAACCGGAAAGCAGCTTGATAATCAATTAGGCCAATAACTGCTGTTATAATAATTGCAGCCAAGATGACAATGGGGGTGTAATAGAACAGTGGCATTAGAAACAACAAGGTGATTAACACAGCTGTTGCCATTATTATGTTTGAAACGACCGTTTGTGCCCCAGCGTTGTAATTTACTGCTGATCGAGAAAATGAACCTGTAAATCAAATATTTGCTGGTTAAAAAAGAGTTAATCTTATCGCGAACAACAGGCCAATGAGGCGGGTACCTGTTGTAACATAGCAGGAAGAACAAGAGCCAGCCATATTCATGAGTCCAATCGCCATCATTTCTTTGTTGCCATCAACTTGGTAATTCTTTAAAGCAGCAAATGTTCTTCCTACTGCAATCCCTTCCTGCAGGTCAATGAAAATGTCAAACACAAAGCGCTTCGTTATATTTCTACGGCCAATTGCTTGTAATCGTCTCAAGTGACTTACTGTTAACGCTAAGATTCCGGAAACAATGCCAGTTTTAATGGCAAGAGGCAGATAAGGACCACTTAGATACAACATGTTCAATGAGGGCGGATTTAGACCCTTTTGCAGGTGTCCAATCTGCAAACCAAAGATATTTTCAGTTTCATTCTGTCTAAAAACCTATGTTGGCGGACTCTCCAAAATACTGCCGTACCCGTGTTGGATCCTTTAAAAATATACTATTTTGGAGGATCCAGCATGCACCCGGCGACATTTTCAGAGAGTCCGAGCAACATAGCTAAAAACTATGGATGGAGGTAAAGCTGATGAATTTTACTTACAGTTTGAATACCATGAGCCTTGGACTTAAGGAGGGTCACTACGAGAGTTGAGAGAATAACCGAGGCCAACGGAGATGCTGCTGAAAGCCAGAAAAGTTTTGGGTTCCTGGTGCTCTGTAATTACAGAAGAAAATTCAAATCTTTAGTTAGAAAATGAACAAAAGAGATGAATATTAATCAGAATATTATGTTCTGCCATAAAACAAACACTTACAATTTGCCTAGTCGTCAGCAGAAAGGCGAGAAAACAAACGCCCATAACAATGGTTTGCCAAGACCACTGCAAATAGATATAGAGGAGTAAAACTACTAAATAATGATTTGCATCAGTTGACAAAGATAGTTGTTTTTTCCACTATCTTATATCTCAAAGAAGTTCAATATCGACAAAGAAGCTTCTTTTTACCTCATTTTTGTGCTGGAAAACAGAAGACAAAACAGGAACTATTTGCATCTGGCTTGTGAAGTGGACTATCCCTAACAACCCTTTCAGTTGTTGCAATGAAACAATGACTGCTGCACCAGCCATGAACCCAACCAAAGTCGCCTTCGACAGAAAATCAATGATAAATCCTAACCTGCAAACCATGAACTTTTAGTGCATTTCCATTTGAACTAACTGAGTTCTAAAATAAACCGAATCAGTGAGCACTTGGAAGCAAATTTTATTTCTTGAAAGTAAAGTTTTGAGAACCATAGTTTACTCTAAAACACAAAGTTAGAATGAAATGGACTCGCATTCAATTGAAATGATATACAAGATTCATATAGCCGACCCAACTAATTTAGAATTAGCAGATTCACCTACTACATTTCAGCCATCCAGCGATCCTGATCTATTTCAAATTTGCTAGAATTGATATATCCATGCACGATTGATAAATAGAAGTCAATAATTTTGCAATGAAAATTGATCTAGTGTGGCCAAGAAGGATAGTCCTGAAATATATGCATTTGAATACTCTGCAAAATTCAGTTGTAAAGTTGAAATAATGGGATTTGTAAAACAAAATAGAGTTGCAAAAATCTGAATACTAGGCTACAGGCATAAGATTATACTTAGAACAAATAGTTTAATATAGGAATGCGGAGATTTTGAAAAGCAGCAACAACAACAACAATAGATCTTCTTTCTGATAGATCCTCGGCTCAAGGAAGATTTTGAAAAGCAAATTTCTGTAATTACATTATGTAACCTTGAATTTTTATTCTTTTTCTCCAGCTGTATTTGTTAGTTTCATACTGTGCATAAAAAGCCAGAGTCCAGTTTTATATGGTGCATAACATCCTCTGTCCCTTTCCATGCATTTTTCTCTGTTTTCTTGCTGTTTTTAGTGGAAGTGCCCAATGTTTCTAAATGATTCTTTTGGATATCTTTCCAAAAGTTTGTTTCCACTTAGCTACTGTAGTCCATTACTAAATTAACGGTAACGTTGATGGTGGAATGGGGAATGTTAAGCTAAGATTATTCCTCCTCTTTTACTTTCTCTTTAAATATTAGAAAGTCAAATTAAAACGCTGCACGAATTTTCGAGTGAATGAGAACCATTACGTCAAAGAATTTAAGTTATATACACTGACACCCTAAAAATATATTTCAGTGCAATTTAACTTGTTATAGGATGTTACTAGATTAACAATAACGTTTATTCTATAGAATCAGTTGTAATTACTTTTTAAGTGACATGTCGGTGCATAGAACTTAAAGTTTTAATAGAATATACCTGAAAAAACCGAGTGAAGACTGAAACAGTCCGGCAAAAAGGGTAGCTGTAAAAGCCAACTGAAGGTAAAGAACAGGTTCTTCAGTATAAGAAACTGCTTCACTCAGCATTGTGCCCATAACAAGTGAAGCTATCGAGACCGGACCAACTGCTAAGTGTTTCGAACTCCCCAATACTGAATAGATCAATGGTGGCACAAAGCTTGAATCTGCATCATCATATCCATTAATATTTCAACTCTTAGATTAGTAGATATCTAGATTGGATGTAGTTTGATTTTTATTTACAAAAAGATATTGCAAAGCACAAGAAAATTAGTAAATCACCGTAGTCGATTAAGCACACATTTACTCTTCAACATAGAATGTATACTTTACAAACAGCGAAATCATTTTTTACTAAAATTACATATATATATATATATATATATATATACAGAAATTTCCATAAATTATATATTTATAGGAAGTCTGAAAATGCACTGTGACAATTCGCAAAAGAATATGTAGGTACAACAATATTTCATACCCACGGATTTTATAAGCTTGCATGCGCCTCTACCTTCAATTAATAGACCAGTAGACCCTTGATAAATTTCCATTAACTTAACGGATCTTTAAACTTAAAATAAATTACCAAATATTGACTGATTAACAACTGGTTTTAACAATGAGAAACCCCTTATCAATCAATAATTATGCTTCAACCCGAAACTACTTGGAGTTGGCTATATGCATTTTATATCAATTCAGCTCTATTCTGCACCATTTCATTCCAATAGGAAAAAGGCAGCCGTGCACTAAGCTTCCGCTATGCGCGGGTCCGGGAAGAGCCGGAACACAAAGGTATATTTGTACGCAACCTTAGCCTAAATCTTTGCAAGAGGCTGTTTTCACCGGTTAAGCCAATACAACAGAAAAAGATTGTTAGTAACCGATAAAAACGAACAATTCTATCACTTAAAAAACAAATTCATATTCTAAATTAAGGGATCAAAAGCAAATTAGATTTTAAAGAAGAAAATAACAAGTGTGATCATTTACTTACATAGCCCAACAATAGGTGGCAAATTAGCAAGCTTTGCATAGCTAATTCCCTGTGGGATAGCAAGGCTAGCAATTGTGAGTCCAGAAATTACATCTGCCCTTAGTAGTTTAAGATTATACTGAGGACCCCACTCAAAAACTGGGAAGAAAAATTGAAGACCCAAAACCAACTTCATTAACCATGTTTGGTTCTTGAATTTGTGAAGTGGATCATCTGGGAAAAATATTTCCAATAGCCTTTGCCTGAGTTTTTGAAGGGTAGTTTTGTGTGGTGGTAAGCAAACTCTGTGTACTTCAAATGGTTGATTATTTGATATGTGTAATTCTGTACTAGTAGTAGAGATTGTGATAATTGTTTCATTGCATGCATGGCCAGATAAATCTTCTACTCTGTTTGAACTTAGTCCCATATTCTACAAAAACACTAAGTTTATAACAAAAATAAACTGAGTTAGAAGCGGTGGGAATTGTGGTTATTTCAAGAATTTGGAAGAGGAAGAAGAATTGAGAGAAAGAGGAGTTGAGTTAAGAGCTAGGGGCAGTTGTTTGTTGGTAAATGCGGACACTACCCATCCTTTTATAGGACTACTTTAACTATCATGCACTGTCCTCCAGAAAACCCCAGAAAAAGGAAAAAGGAAATAGAAAAATAACAGAGGTGGTGCTGTGACAACATTGGAAGGCCAAGATTTTTTTAAACTTTGTTTTCTAATATAAGAAAAAAAAAAGTTGGCACTTCTCTATGGCCAAGGATCTTATTTATCTATTTTTTTTTTGGTTTTTCTTTCTTTTTCCCTATTTATGTACTACTCCCTCCATCTCATATTATGTGTCTTATTTCTCTTTTACACGCCCCTTAAAAAATATTAATTAGGAAAGAGATTGGACTATTCTACCCTTATTTATGTCATAAGATATAATCTCTATTGATTGAATATTTATTTCCATTTTCAAGAATAATTATTACCAAGGGTAAAAAAGGAAAAAAATAATCAATTTTATCTTGAATTTTTAAAATGACAAATAATTTGAGACAACTATTTTTAGTAATAACGACGGTTAACATGAGACGGAGGGAGTATTTAAAAAAACAAAAGTTTCTTCTTTAGGTATATCAACCGTTAATTAATTAAGAAACCAAAAATCACCTCTTTTCACTTTTATTTCTCCCACCTCTTCGGTTGCAACTAGGGGTGTTCATAAAAATCCGAAAAACCGAACCAAGCCGAAAACCAAACCAAATTGACCAAATAAACCGATAATTTTTAGGTTTGGTTTGGTTTTGATTTTGAATTTTAAAAACCGATCAAATTTGGTTTGGTTTTGATTTTAATCAAAAAATAACCGAAAAAACCGAAGTAAACCGACTATAAAAGTAGCTATTTAAAATTATTATTACACCTATATATATGTATATTTTTATATAAAGTTTTTAAAATTTTATGGTACATATTAGTCATTTATATTATTAATCTAGTTCTTTGCTATTTTAATAATCTAATTCTTTGCCTATATATTCTAGTCTGATTGGTAGTTTTCTTTTGCTAAGTACAAGAATTTATTTTATGTTAAAAATAATCTATTTTTAATTGAGTACTTTAATTATTCATCACTATTTGATTCTATTATCATCAATATATCTTGGTAAATGATAGATTTCTCAAAGAGCAATTGATTTGATAGTGTTACGTTGAAAATGTAGTCGCCGGAATATGCGTTTGGTAGTGTATGTCTAATATTTAAGAAAAATTCGGATGAATAACCAAAAAAACCGAAAAACCGACAAAAATCGAATCGATAAAAACCGACTTAATTGGTTTGGTTTCGTTCAAATATTTGAAAACTCGACTTATTTGATTTGATTTCTTTTTAGGGAAAGATCAACCCAAACCGAATCATGAACACCCCGGCTGCAACCGTTATTAACATAATAAGCCTATTTATTTCTTTCCTCACTACTACTATTTATTTTTTCTCCTAAGATCCCCCTCTCTTCCTTCTTAATTTTCTACTGTTTTTCTTTCTTCTTTCCTACTTCCTCGATTGTAGATAAATTTTGTGTCTTTCTTGTATCCTTGAGACCTTTTTTGTTGAAAATAAAGGTTGAAAATTGTACAATTAATTGTTACTATTCATCTATGTTATTTTGTTTCTTCCACTTTTAGTTGATCTTAGTTTGAAAACATAGTAATTTTGAATTTTGAAGCCTTTCCTGCNATGTTGTTTAGTCATTTTTAATTTGCATTTTTTGCAGCAATTGCAATTTGAAGGACATCTAAGTATATCATGAGGAATGATAATTGATGCATCATTATATTTTGGCTGAAGCTTTGATTGATCAAAATAAAGTTTTCGTCTACAATTTTAATTTTATACTATGAGAAAGAGACGATGGTCAATTAATTTTATATTTTTATTAATTCTCTTTACACCTAAACTATATAAAAGGATCTAACAACAAAATAAGTTTCTTCAACTATTTCCTCCTTTTTCTGATTTCTTTTCCCTCCTCTTATTTCCTTTGATTTTCAAGTAGTAGTTGAAATTTCTGTCTCTATAAAATAAATTTTTGAGTAAGCTGTAGTTTAGGAGAATTTTTTTGAAGAATTCCTTGCTATGGATTCTGGTCGATTTTGTAGTGCCCTGTGGAGAAAAGTTTCTCATTCTTTTTGGTTAGTGTTGGTACATTCCTTACCGTTTTTAGGGGTATAACATTTATAGCTGACCCCGGATCTATTTGCACTTGTCGGAGTTTTACTTCACCAATATATCCTGAAAGGTACAGTGGACGATTATGGTGAAGGTCCCCTAGCAACAAAATAGTCTTCTCGATAAAATGTGAGGTCTAAAGTACATTATTATCATGCATTTTTGACCTCTTATACCTTATTCATGGTCATAATTGATAGTGCAATTTTGGTAAATCTACTGCTTGTATACTTATCCAACAAAATTTTTGTTGTGACTGTATTCAGAGATGGCGTCAGTATTTTTAATTTATGAATTCTGAATCACAAATTTTTTTGCTTACTGGGTTTTAAAATGAAAATAAAGGAGGTAATTATTGGCAAAAAATGATAGGAGCAAAATGTCTATATATGAAGAGTGTTAAAATGGAAAGCAACTTCTTCAGATTTTACGAAAAATTAGCCGAAGGAAAATAAAGAATAAACACTAAATGCACACCAAACATCATGTACTTAAATGCTTATAGAAATATAGAAAACGAAAGTGCTATTTGAAAGATGTAACCAAATATATGTACTATAATAGGAAAAAAATACTATATAAGGATTCTAATGTTTCTAAAAGCATTTAACGGAGTTCTAAAATTAGTAGAAAATATTTTTCTTTATAATTTATCTTCTCCTAGAACGAGAAGAAACTAAAATTAACTATTAATAGAAAAATAAAACTGAAATCTAACTTTTTTGTATCAATAGAAAAATAGCTAATTAGAACATGACTATTAAATGAGAGAACAAAAATCAGGTGTGTACGATGAATAGGTGGAGGCTTGTGAGGATTAGGACGAGAGGTTTTAACTTTATCAATTCTGTAAGTATTCAATCGTTATTATTATTTTTTCACTTCTATCCAGGAAAATGTGTATTAAGACTTATAGAGAGTGTGTCGCCAAATCTCTTCCAAATACATTTGGAAATATTTTAGAAGTATGAATTATAATAAGGTAGGACGAGCAATTGATTTTTATCAATATTTTTATTAAAACAAATAAGAATGTAGGCAACAGACTTTAGGTCGGTGTTTACTTGCCTACATTATTGTTAGTATGATATCAATAGTCATTGGCATTTTTTATTGATGAGACTAATAATTCTCATAGTTTTTCTTTATCTACCTCGATCCAATTTAACAAAAATTATCTCATAAATCCATGAAATATTTTACAAAATAATTACGTGAATTGCGGCAAATTCACTAATTAATAATAAGATACAAGCAACCCTCTCTATAGCAGTCTCGTTTGTTCTGATATTTTTTACTTTTTATAATAAATGATTGTTATACATCTATAACCATATTTGACATTTAAATATTTTTTGGCTGTTATAGATAAAAATTATCCAAAAATCAATTATTTTTCTTTTTTTAGTGTTACGGAGTAAAAAATAAGAAAATTATTCAAATTTAAAATCTCAAAAAATATGCATAGTTCACTAGTTAAATATTGAAGAAAGCTAATACATTATTAATAAAATCATAAATAAAATTATAAAAATTTAAACTCTAAGGCAAACATTTTAAAACTACCTAAAAAATAAAAAAATTCAAGATTGATGGAAGAACTTTATAATTGTAGCTTGTTTCGTAGATTTTACTCTGTTACTAGCGATATAACGCTTGAATTGGCGAAGATTCGTGTCCAAATTTTCAGCAAAAAGGCATCCAATAGTTTTTCCTTGAAGACAATCTAAGAACTTAACAGTTAAATTTTCTATCTAATTATTTTTGGAATTTGTCCAATGAAAAAGATATCATATGCAAATCTTCAAATCTTATATCTTATGCAAGATAGAAACTTTATTTAATGGAAAAGATTTTGTGCATGTTTTTATAATTATTATTAGTAATCTTAAAGATTCTATATGGCTGTTATAGAGGGGCAATTTTACAAAGAGCGTTATGCTATAAATATAGTTGTTGCTGTTATAGGTAAAAAGTCATTATAGAGAAGTAAAATGTAACTTAAAAAACTGATTCTGGGAAAAACTTGACTTTTATAGTGAATTGTTGTTATATAGGGATGTTGTTACATAGAGGTGTGCGTGTACTTGCGGTAACAAAGTTACACTATAGTGATAGAGTAAAAATAGTCTACACTGTAGGACCAATATCGGAATTGATGTTACTATCGAGATGGAATATTTAGTATTACTATAGGCTCATTTGGTTGCATGTAGAAGGTATTATAATATACGTGCATAAAACTGAACATTAACAATGCAGTATTTGGAATCTTTTTTATACGGGCATATGATTCAGTTTTATAATACATTGTTTTGTTGTTATTTTTAATGCCGCAAAGTAATACATGCATAAATGATGCAGAAATTTATGTACTCCGTTTCAATTTATGTGAACTTATTTCCTTTTTAGTCCGTGCCAAAAAGAATGACCTCTTTCCTTATTCGGAAACAATTTACCTTTATGCAATGATTTATAGCCACACAAAATATATGTGCCTCATTTTTAGCCACAAGTTCAAAAGACTTCTCTCTTTTCTTAAACTCCGTGCCCAGTCAAATAAGTTCACATAAATTGAAGCGGAAGGAGTATTAATTTATAATGAGGAATAGACGATAGAATAAGAATACATACTTAGTAATACATATATAAAAGCAATTAAAAAGACCAAAATAACCCTCATGTATTAGATAACTTTTTAAAAAGAAAAATAATAAACAATACATATTTTAATTCATGCATAATTTTTATATTGTTATTAATCGTTATATTGCAATTTCTGCATTGTGCATTATTGCATAACTTGTCTCTCAATCAAACGGCTTACTTTTG